AAATTCCAGCATCTTTCTCCCACCCCACTGTACCACGCATCTTTTCCCTTTCCTTCACTATCGAGAAAGCCTGTCCTACCAAGACAGACTACTTCAGCCCTCCTCTTGGTTCTGAGTGCTATCTTCTCTGTCTCCTCAAATATTAGTACCTTTCAGTTGTCTCCTAAATTTCAACTGAATTATTGTCATCAGTATAAAAAGATGGTGGTATCTTTCATCTTTAAGACCCTTCCATGACCCCTCTTCCATTTCTTTTTTTTTTTAACTTTTAGGCTGTACATTTATTTCATTCGACAAACCTCCCTCTTTTTTTGTTGTTTTATTTTTTTAAATTTATTTTTTCATTTCTTTCTTGAAAAAGCCACCCACACAACATTTTTACCCCCTCTCGCATTCATCTTTCAAACCACTCCTATCTGGTTCTGCTCTGCCCACTCCCACCCCACGGGCTATAAAGCTGCTCTCTTCGGTATCTATTTCCGGCTGCCACATCCAAGCTCACCCAGCTGCCTTCACTCGATTTCAACACCCAGTGGCAGTACAGCTGACTCTTTTCTTGAAACATTATCTTCCTTTAGTGTCTATGAATCCACTGTTTTCCTCCCACTTTCCAGTAGCTTTTTTCAGCCATTTTGACTGGCTTCTCGATGACCTGCAAAGCTTCGTGCTGGGGTATTTTTCTCTCTCTATATTTTGGTCCCAGGTAACGTGATCTAATGCCAGGGCTGGAAGATGACAAGGGCCCTGTAAATGCTCCCGACTCCCCAGCTCACTGTAGACCTCTGAGCTCCAGATGCACAGCCCTCTCAACCCTCCTGATCTGTCACTCTCTACATTGGTCACCCCTTTCCAAATATCAGACTGGTGTTTCAGTTCACTAAAAAGGCTATAGTCCCTGCCGGGCACATTTTTCCTCACTCTTCATGTGGTTGCCATCTCTCATCCTTCAGTCTCAACTCAAATGTCATCACTTTGCTTAAAAGGGACAACATTCTCTCTCCACCTCCGCTCCTTTTTTTTGGTCCCCTCTAAAGTACTGACAAATTGTCAGTGCTTCAAACTCTTTAATGGCTTTCCCCTGACTCCTCCTCCTCATCTCTCCCTTATTCACTCTGCTCCAGCCCCTTGCCTTCTTTTTGGATCCTGGCACATTATCTCAACTTCTTTCTGCCTCTGCAGTAACGCTGCCTGGAACACCATTTCCTCTGATGAATCTTTTCTAAAATTAGCTTAGAAACTTTCAATGACTTTTTACTGCTCTGAAAATAAAATGAGTTCCTCCCTTAGTCTGGCATAAAAAAGACCACCACAGAGTTTCATCTACAGTCTGTTTCAGTCTAATTTCTCACACCATCCCTTAGGTGGGCCACTCCACTCCTCACTAAGCCCCAAGGAGGCAGTGCATATTTCTTTATTCCTTCATATCTTTGCACATCTAATTCTGTCCAGAACACTTTTTCTCCCTTCTGTGCTTCACAAATTGCCATGCAACGTTTTAAGACCAGCTCAGACGTTGCCTTTTCTGTGACCCCTTTCTGGTTGCCTCTGGATATAGTATCCTATGGTCAATAAACAGGTGCTCAATTATGATTATTTTTGTTGATGCACCTTAAAACATAGTTTAATAACTGAAAACTCATGGGAAAATGGCCTATGTCTAACAAAGCATCTCACTGAACAAGATTTGGAAAATACCTTCCAGTCTTTGGGATCAAGTGTTTTCAGCATGGGAAACTCTTCTAGCTGCAATTCTTCATCTTCCGATTCCTCTGATAACTCTTTCTTATCCTCCAGTTCCTGAAAAGAGGCAGAAGCATTTCTGTTTCTCCTCTTAACAAAAGCTTCAAACCATCTTCCCACAGGTTCAACTTGACAGAGTGTTGAGGCTGTGATTGAAAGCGTTAAGAGAGGCTTCAATGTATTGCATGGAATAAATCTGTTCCAAGGCAGTAAATAAGACTGAAACAGTGACAGCAGCAGAATACAATTTTAAAACCATCAACTGAGAAAATAGTTGCAGTAATCCTGTTAACATGAGGGTTATCAATAATCATTTCCTAGTATTTAGAGTATTCAATCAACCTCTTCCAGTTATCTGACAAAACAAGACATTCAGCAATGTCAACAGTAAATCAATGCTTTTCTGGGGCTATGAGAGGAAGAAGAGAAACAAGGAGAAATGTTGCAAACTGCTTTCCTTTTAGACTAACAATTGTAAGTAAGCAATTAATAATTATAAACTGTCATAAAGAGCTAGCCTCATCCAAAAAGCCTAAAAAATCTTAATTTTTAAAACCTGAATTTAAATAGCTTTCAAAATTTTAAGAATTCACTAGCAGTGTTTTTTTCTGGAAGACAATTTTCAAGTAGCTAACAGGGATTTACCATTGAAGCTGTGATATAGTGGAACAGCTCTGCATCTGAAATCAGCTCTGGAATTCAGTGTAGATCTAACAATCAGCAATGTGAAATGAGTCAGAGGTGTCTTCAGCTGTAAAACGGGAACAATTCCTATTCTATCTGGTTCCTTGGAAGATTGAATGACAAAGCATGAAAGCACTCTGAAAGTCACAAATTGTTAAACAAAAGTAGGGCTTTATCATTATTCCTGGGAAGTGGGGATAAGTCACTACACATTTGTATATTAACAGTTCAGAAAAGGTAATTGGCGTCAGCTAAACAGTGAACGTCTTAATTTTAATTTCGTATTTCAAATGAAAGCAAAAAGCTTTACTCTCTCTGGTAATAACTGGAAGACGTCTTCCCTTGCACTTAATGGCCACAACTTTTCTAAAAATAACTGACTTTTCATGCTTTGAATTGTTTGGGAAATTAAGATTTCCTCTACCATACACAAGAGAGGATTCAAACACTATGTTCAAGAAGTACTACGGGTGTAGCGTGGGTGTGGCTTTTAAGAACATTTCCTTTCAAGCCTTTTCCTCTACTTGTGAGATTACAGAAACTTCTGTAAGCACGAACACATGTGTCCTAAAGTAAATTGAAAATCACATTTAACAAGCGTCTGTATACTTGGCTATGGTAATTAATGAAATCATTGAAACTGGAGACTCTTTAAATTTATAATACCACGACTGTCTTGGGCAATAAATCTAAGAACCTAAAGTAGCAGGACAAGTTTCACTTTAAAAAAAAATTGAAGATGGTTGATTTACATAGGACAAGTTTCACTTGAACACTGCCTTGAAAAGTCCGTCCCCATAGGTCTTACTACCAGCATAGACAATGGTCTTCCCATACTGAACATGAGGGGCACCGTCTGGCTTGGGACATTTAAAAATGCCAGAGCAAACGTAGAGAGGGAGCGAGGTGTTTTAACAGAACACCAGCAGTAAGGCTTTGTACGCTCCCCGGCACGTGGGAAGCTGGCCGTGGGTACTCTCTTGCAGGAGGCAAGGAGATGCTTATAGAACCTTCTTAGGGTACTGGAGGGTTCGGTCCAGAACTGCTCCGTCAAATTCATGAGTCAGCAGCCACGAGACTAGGAAAAAACCATCGGGGCAGAAGAAAGACGCCCCCACCTTCTTCCTTCCAGTCTGGGGAAGGATTTCTGTGTAGCAGGGTGCAAGAAAGCACTCGTGACGGCCCCACACTCTATGAGCTAGCTGCCAGCAACAAGGGTTGAAAGGTTTCGGGTCGCCGAAGTGGAGGACCGAGGCAGGGGCGGCTGGGGCTAGACGGAGCCGGGGTTGAGTGGGCACGTACCAGAGGTCAGAGCGTGGGTGATGGCGGTGCTCTGGCCGTCCGCAGCGCTTGGCAGGAGCAGCATGATGGCGCCGGGGCCAGCCCCGGGGGCGCAGCGGTTCGCGTCCCAAGCGGAGGACGCTTAGAGCCGCTTCCAGCTCTACCTTCCCGTCCGAGCCTCGCGCCTTGGCTCTACGAAGCCCAGGAACCGGCGCATGGAGACGACCAATAACTACTTCCGGGATGACTCTTTCGTGGTGCGTAGGCCAAATCCACCCCCACCCAGCCCCGCCAACGTGTGCGGCCGCCTAGGTCCTCTACTGACTCAGATCCGGCTGGGAACTGAGACTCACGAATGAAAGGTTCCTACACTTATCAGTTCCCTCGTAAAAAGGATTCTTTTCCTCTTCCAGGTGCAGTACGTAGAACATGATTTTCTAAAGCAGTTCCCACTACATTATTTTTAAGTTACTACTACTTTATTAGTCTGAATCTAACCCCTGACTTTTGCAGTAGCTGTACTTGTATAAATAAAAAAAGGAAAAGATGTGTGCGACTTTGCACTGAGAATAACTGTTACAGTCTATACATTTATGGAGAATTCTGTACACCTACCTATAATGCGTTTATGTTTACCTAAATAAGCTAATGTCTGTTTTGCTATTACTAACTTACCTGTGCTATCTCATTTAATCTTCGTAACATTTGGAGGAGAATCCCCTCTCTAGTGTTAGATTCTAATCCAAGGCCAGCAATCTTTTTACCCTGCTCTAGCAGCGTGAAGTTTCTTTCAAGATATTCTCCGTTATAGGACTCTGGGACTTGACTGTTTAATGTTTAATTGTTTGGTAAAATCAATTATACTTCTGCTAAAATTGGACTGAGGTCAAAAGTCAAGAATTAGCAAAAGGAAACCAGGGGGTAAAGAGTCCCACCACCCAGTATTTAGACTAGGTTGGGCCAAAGAGAAGACTTGATGGGCCACTCGTCAGCAAAGAGAACCAGAAATCAGCAAATTATTCTCTAGGAATTACATTTTCACTGTTAAATACATTGAATTAGCCTGTGTATCTTTTGCATGGCAAAACTGCTCCTTTAAAACCGACTTTTCAAAAACTAAGCTAATCATCTCCCATAAACCTCCTGACCCCTCTCTTTATTAATGCAACCACTGTTAAAACAGACCCTAAGGCTCAAGGTAACCTGACTCCACTTTCTTAATATTAATAACTTTCTCTCACAACTAGCCCATCCATTTTCTCCATCACCTTTAAGGGCATGAAAACTTTTTTTTCTTTAAATTGTGGTAAAATACACATAACATAAAATCCTCATCTTAACCATTAAGTGAGCAGTTTAGCAGCGTTAAGTACATTCACTTTTTTGTGCAATCTCCAGAACTCTTCATCTTGCAAAACTGAAACTGATACCCATTAAACAATTCCCCATTTCCACTCCCCCCAGTCCCTAGCTATCATCATTCTACTTTCTATCTCTGTGAATTTGACTACTATAGGTACTTCATATAAATAGAGTCATATAGTATGTCTTTTTGTTACTGACTTACTCAGAATGTCCTCACAATTGTAGTATGTGCCAGAATTTCTTTCCTTTTTAAGGCTGAAAATATTCCATTGCATGTACATTTTATTTATCCATTCATCTGTTGAATGGGTTGATTCCACCTTTTGTCTATTGTTAACAATGCTGTTATGAACATGGAAGTACAGATACCTCTTTGAGACTCTGCTTTCAATTCTTTTCTGTATATACCCAGAACTGGAATGCTGGGTCATTTGAAAACTGTTTAACTTTTTTTAGGTACTGCCATACTATTCTCCATAGTGATTATACCACTTTACATTCCCATCAGAAGTACCCAAGGTTTCCATTTTCTGCACATCCTCACCAACTTCTTCTTCTTTACTTTTTGATAGTAGCTGTTCTGATGGGTTATGAGGTGGTATCTCATGGTTTTGATTTGCATTTTCTCCGGGACCAGTCATGTTGAGCATCTTTTCATGTGTTCGTTGGCCATTTGTATAACTTCTTTGGAGAGCTGTCAATCCAAGTACATTGTCCATTAAAAAGAATGAAGTTTCTTTTTCTTGTTACTGAGTTTTAGTTCTTTATATATTCTGGATATTAACCCCTTATCAGACAAATGACTTACAAATATTTTCTCCCATTCTGTAGGTTGCTTTTTCACTCTGTTGACTGTGCACAGATGGGTGAGGCTTTTTAAAAAATTTCTCAATTCTACAATTGTCTCCTAACTGGTCTCTTCTGTTACTCATCTCCCAGATTCGCTTCTTTCAAAACCTACTCTTTTCCCCTGACTTCCCTGTGTCTGAGGATAGTACCACTCTTTGGTAGCAGGCTCAAACACTGAAACCACTATCTCCTCGTCCCTTGTTAACGTCAAATTAATAACCGACTCCTGTTTACCTTCATCCTATTTGTAAATCTAGCCACTACTCACGGCGTATCTAATATGCCAGGTACTTTACAAACACTGTTATTCAATGCCTCCACAATGCCGAGGTTACGGGGAAATTACAACACAGAGAATAAAGAAGTTACCCACGAATACAGAGTAAATGACTAAAGCAGGACTTAAAGTCAGCAACCTGAGCCTGAGTTGGTCGTGAAACCTGTTGCTCAGGGAACTCGCCATGGTGAGAGGCCCAGGTAGACCGATCGACTTTCCTTCCCAGCAGGGAATTCTTCCTCGTCCCCTAACTTCGATCCGCCGCCGGTGGTGTCCTCCAGAACGCTCTTCCGCCTGGTGCGGCTGTGAAAGGGCCCGCGAACTCCGCTTCACTTCCGGTGAGGAAGGGAAAAGGGCGGGCACCACCGGAAGCCAGGAAGGTGCTGTGTAATCACCCGGGAGCCAAGGGGCTTGGATCTCCTAAAATGCCGGATTACCTCGGTGCGGATCAGCGGAAAACCAAAGAAGATGAAAAGGACGACAAACCCATCCGAGGTCAGTTGACGTAGGCCGGGGCTCCGGGCCGGGGCAGGACCAGTCTTGGACCCCAGGATTGGAGGGATGGACGGGGAGGAGCTGGATTCCAGCTCTGGGCTCTGTTGCTTTTGTGCCGCTGGTGATTTAGGCTTCGGAGGCAGCCGGTTAACCTGCCTGTCTTCTCCGTCTCCCGTTTCCAGCTCCAGTTATGTTTTCATTTCCTCTTAATCGAAACTTTTATTCGCATTCATCTCCCAGGCCTTGAAGAAGTCACGCACACCGCTTGGCCTTGCAGGCCTTGAAAACTTCCACACCTGGAGGTGCTTGGTTACCTGGATCCTCTTTACTGCCTTTCCTCCCCCTCAAGTGACAGCCTGCTGCTATCATCCTGTAGCCAGGAGCTTGAGACATAATTAAAAAAATTTTTTGTTTAATCTAAGTGTAGCTGATGTACAGTATTACCTTCAGGTGTACAGCGAAGTGATTCAATTATACGTGCACACACACACACATAGATATACACTTATATTTTCATTCTTTTCCATTATAGCTTATTAAAAGAAATTGAATATAGTTTCCTGTGCTATACAGTAGGTTCTTGGTTCTTGTTTATCTATTTTATATGTAGTAATGTGTGTCTGTTAATCCCCGGTTTTTTTTAAATTCCTTTGACTGGATAATGCATTTACATGGTTCAAGACCCAAAAGACAGAAAAAGATAAGTTGAAAATGTCTTATCTTTGAGTCCAGCCACCTCTCATCCACGGAGGCAACTGATGCTGCCATTTTGCTTTTCTAGACATTTTCTGTGTACATAACAAGCAGATTTGCTTATATAGTCCTTTTTTCTTTTTCTTTTTCTTTTAACATAAGTGTAACATGTGTATGTCTTGGTTTTTTAAAAATCTTAATGGCTTAGGGATAAGCTCATACGGTTATATAAAGAGGCAGTGTTGTCTGTATAATATCGCAAATTATTGGGTGTTCAATAATGTGTGTAATTAATCATTGTTAATGGACATTTCGTTTTCTTTCAATCTGTTGGCCATTGTAGAGCAATGAATAACCTTGTTAATATAATTTTTACCACATGTACAAACACAAGCTGTAGGGTAAATTTTTTAAATGAAGTTGTAATTTTTATAGACAGTGTCCGGTTACTCTCTTTAGAGAGTATACCACTTGACACTTTACCCACAGTTCATGAGATATGCATACCATATTTGTATCTGATTTCTTCCCAGTAGCCCCATTTGTAGTCTCATCTTTATGCTATTTTCTTTTGTTACTTATAGGCTATTTTTAAACATTATTATGGTGGTTTTCTTCTTGTCTTTTTCTCTTTCTCTTTCCCTCCTGAACAACTTCAACCTCTCCTATCACCCTTTCTTAATTTCTACCCACCCCTCAAAAGACAGAGCATTTCCTCTCCACTTTTAACTTACACACTTTTCCCTTGAAAGAGGTACTCAGTTATCTAGTGAAAAACTTAGTCACAGACATTTAACATTTCATCTGTGTATTTCTCTAGGTAAGTTATCATTCTATAAACATATTAACAGGTTTATCACTTGAATGACAGTTATGACTAATGTGTGTAGTTTATGTGCTTTTTCATAGCTTACTTGATCTTTATAGCAACACTAAGGGTAAAATTAATTTTCTCCAACGAGAAGACTGATGCTCAGAGAAATTAAATGATTTTTTCAAGGTTACTTAGCAAATGTATGACCTTGCTGAGACTAGTGCTCAAGTCATTTTGATTCTCAAAGTCTTTTCTTTGGGTTCCCTATGTTTATTGTATCATATCATATCACTTTGAAGGTGTGTTATGCACTTTTTTTTTAATCCACCGTCACCCAGTTAGATAAAAGTTCCCTGAGTCCAGAAACTATTTGATGGTTGTATTTATATCATTATAACTTTGCACAGTTTTTCTCACTGAATTAATACCATTTGAATTGAACAGAAAAAAATTGTTGGCTCTAGTTTCTTTTGTTTGAATTTCACGTATTATCTCTCTTCTTTTAGCTCTGGATGAGGGGGATATCGCCTTGCTGAAAACTTACGTAAGTTGTTCCAGGGTCCACAAAATATAGGTGTTTTGTGTTGAAATAAGGACGTTTGTTAGCATTGTCCTTCCAAAATAGTTAGAAGAGACTGTCTAGCAGTTTATTCTAATCTTCATGAAAAAAGTTATCTATTTACAGTTTCTGCCTAGGACAGACAGTAAATATTCAGCATGTCTAAGCTTATTAAAGTGTGATACTGTATTGAAAGATACTTAAAATAATTTAAACAAATACTTCCTGTATTTAAAGTGTGTGAAAATGAATTAGATTTGAAATGGCAAGTTTTAATGCATAGAAATGAGCCTGCATTTTAGATAATTTCAGGCATGATTTTCATTTGTTATTGTGCATAATGGTGTGTTGCCTGTTTGGGGGACTATATTGGTTCAGGAATGGTTCTGAAATGATAAACTCCCTCTCTCTACTTTAACTTTCTACAAGCTTTAGGACAGTAACAGCTATTATGAATGTAACTGTTAAAGTTTTTGTCTATAGTTTAATAAATTGTTGCTATCCTTATGCTCTAATTAAACTGACCTTTATCTCTTAGGGTCAGAGCACTTACTCTAGGCAGATCAAACAGGTTGAAGATGACATTCAGCAACTTCTCAAGAAAATTAATGAGCTCACTGGTATATATATTTTATTCCTGTTTCCTCTCTTTATATGTAATGGCTTAATTATTTCAAAGGAGTTGAAATTCAAATGTTACTTTTTCATGAATCATAGATTTAAAAAAATTTATCCTTCCTATCTGTTAAGAAATTGGATCCCATTTAATAATCACTTTCACTATCTTGTATAAGCAATTTTAATGCTTAAGCAATTAAAAAACACCATCATCCTTTAAGCAAATAATGTTTCTGTTGGTCAAAGCCAAGTTCAGTAGACCCTTAATAAACAAGTCAGAATTTCTTCTTTTTTATATTTTTATTTTTTATTATTTTTTGTGATGGGGGGTAATTAGGTTTATTTATTTTATTATTTCTTAGTGGAGGTGTCAGGGATTGAACCTAGGACCTCATGCATGCTAAACAGGCACTCTTAGCTATAGCACTGAGCTATACACCCCCTCCAGAATTTCTTCTTGACTAAAAATATGATCTCACATGGTATTGCTTGATGTAAGTGGGCTATGGCCTAATAATTGGAACATTTTCTTCTTGGGAACTTGAGTGGTGAAATTTTATAGTAGTTTACCTGCACAAAAAACTGGGGTCATCCCCTCAGGACATTTGGCAGTGTCTGGAGACATTCTTGCTCCTCATATCTTGAGGGGAGGTAGTGCTAGTGATCTAGTGGCTGGAGGCCAAGGATGCTGCTAACCATCCTGCAATGCACAGGACACCCTCCCCTGTAACAAATTATTCAATCCAAAATGTTATTAGTGCTGAGGTTGAGAAAGCTTGCTTTAGCATGCTGCATTACATTTGAGTGAATTTTTTAATCTTTATGTAGGTATCAAAGAGTCTGACACTGGCCTGGCCCCACCAGCACTCTGGGATTTGGCTGCCGATAAGCAAACACTCCAGAGTGAACAGCCTTTGCAGGTTGCAAGGTATGCATAGTGCTCTGTGCAAATTTATTTTTATCTGTACTGTTAGGTACTTTTTAAAGTCTCCAGTAAAATGCAATAGTTCATAAAGAATTTGTATGCCATGTTCCAAGTAAATAAAAGCTTTCCACAAAAGGATCTAGGGGTAACATTATATCTTAAACAATTATTCAAGAAACAGGTAAAGCCATAATCATATGAAAGATTCAAATGATACAGGAAGGTACAGAACAAAATGTGAAGAGCTCCCTTCCCACCCTGCTGTCCCGTTGCCCTTTCCTCAGACATAACTACTGAGAATAGTTTGGTCCTCTTTAATCCTCCTGTGCATCTTCATGTATATATTTGCTTGCAAAGAAACATACCCTGTTTTCTTTTTAGATATCACTACATATTTTGGAAATCTTATACTGTCTTTGATATAGGTGTACCATGAGTTTCTCTTTTTGTTCACTTACACCCTAATTAGGTGGCCCATAATCTCTGGTAGCTTCCTGAAAGAGGGTCTTTTGGGAGGTACTTTTTTGAGACCATGTATGTCTGGAGACATTTTGACTGATAGAAGGTTCTTCAGAATTTTGAAGGCATGATTACATTGTCCTCTGCCTCCTGGTGGTGTTAGTTTGAAGCTAGTCTGAAAATTGTGATTCCCAGTATGTGTGACCTGTTTTCCCTCTGAAAATTGTAGAGTCTCCTCTAGTTCTCAATGTTCTGAAATTTCATGGCTGTATGCCTTGGTGTTGGTCTGTTTTCATCTATGGTTCCAGGCTCTCATGTTCATCAGTGTGGCAGATTTTCTTGAAACTCTTTATTTATTAATAATGTTTTTCTATTTTCTTGGTCCTCTATTCTGGACTTCTATTACTGGGATATTGGATCTCCTGGATGGCCCCTCTAATATGCTAATCTTTCTTTCCTGCTTTTCTTTGTTTTGTCTTTTTGTGTGTATGTGTATGTGAGATTTTCTTAACTTTGGAGTCCATCTATTGATTCCCACCCTACCACCCCCATTTCTCTTAAATTTTTAATTTCCAAGAGTTTTTCTTTCTTTTAATGTATATGTTTTGTTTGAATGTTCTCATATCATGGTTGTAGTATGTTCTCTCTAAGGAAATTAAGGCTAGCTGGGTTTCTGCTTCCTCTAAGATGCTTTTTTCCTCTTTGCTTGGTGTCTGTCTTTTATGCTAGAT